ACCAGTGGGACTAGAAAAAGTACTTAGCTTTATTCATAAAATTGCTTTATTATTATTTTTTTCTTAAGAAGACTTCTGTAATCAATCTGTAATCTTATCGTTTTCTTCTATATCTATATCTATATCGTTTTCTCTCTTAGCCCTCCTTGGTATCGCCATATGAATCCTGTACTGCTTTACATCTATGATCCCTTATAAGGCTTCTAAATAAATTTTTAAACTTGTCTCTCTAGCCATAACTTTTAACTAGCCATCAAGGGTCACCTATGGAGACTTCTCCAAAGGAACTAGCCTTGCACCAGCTCCGCCCAGAGGTTTTAGGGTTTGTGCCCCTTGGGGACAACGGATTCAGTAGTGTCAGGAAAGCATCCTTTGTGTCCTTCACAAGGTAACTCCTGTGCTTTGCTAGTTGAGCTGCAACAAAGGGTTCCCAGGATGAACCCCCTTCAAAGTAGAGTGCCTCAGCGTAAACTCCTGACAGTGAATTTATTTGAGATGTCATAAAGTCTTTGGACAAAAAGTGTACATTGTTCTTTTATAATTAAATCTAGAAATATATCATGTGGTCTGTACAATTCAAACTGAAGATCACACTTAGCCAAATACTGTACGTTTCTGTTTCACTATGCATTAATTAAATACTGTATTAGGAAGATCAGATACTGTATATCTAAAGAAATTCAGGTAACAAACATCTTGTAACTAACACAATTGAAGAAGGCTCCACAGAAAAAATGTTGTGTTTCCTTTCTTCTGTTTTCAGCATGGAATAAACCTTTACTTGTTCCTATACAGTCTACACATGCTGATGCAGCGACCTACTTGAGCTATCTTGTACACTAACTAAATTTAATTAAATTTTTACTTCTGAAAAGCAATAATAAGTCTGAAAAGGGAAGATAAATATATCAATTTTGTTTAGAGAATATCATATTTTACTCTGTTTTACTACAGAGTATTTACTGCATCATAAAACTGAACATGTGTTATTATTTACAGATAAAAAATTGCAGTTCCCTACTAAAAGTTAGTTGGATACTCTGGAGAGTTTCACAGTAATGGTGGATGGCTTCCTCATTCAGGCATCAGCCCTAGTCTGGACATTGGGAGTCATATTTGAGACCCATGTAAAAAAATGGATGAAACCCCTTTTTTCATCTTAAAAATTTCACCTGAATTAGGGAATTTCTATCAATGTCCAATGCTGAGTTGCTGATTCATGCATTTATAACATAGCTTATAACAAACCTTAATGTCTGCAACTCTATAGACTCCATAACACACCTTAGTAAGTTACAACATTTCCAAAACTTGGAAGCTAGACTTCTAATTCAATAATAAATAAAAAAAAACACCGGCAGCATACTGTCATACTTATACTTTAAGATCTGTTCATTGGTTCCTTATAAAGTCACATATTCAATATAAGATCCTGTTATTAACTTATAAGGCTCTGAATATTCTGCATCCATTAGCATTTGTGAACTCCTTCTTGTATACACTCCATCCCATTAGCTCCCTTCAGTAATGGCAGGTCCTTTGCTGTTTGTAGCTAGGATTTAATGTCGGACAACTATTGATGGTGTTTTTCTGTTGCTACTCCATTTTTATCATTTTTTGCATCTCTTAAAGAGACAGGTTCTTTGACTGTTTTGAAATTAAACTGAAAACATACCTTTTTACTGGGACCGATGTCTGATAGTCTTACGAGTCATCTCATACAGTATGCTCTTATTTTACTTATTTTTTAATGTAATTGTTAGTTTTTTTTATTAGTTTTATTATCAATAATATACATATACTGTACATATACAAACAGATATACATATTAATGATTTACTGGAAATGTCTTCCTTTGTCTTATGTGCTTCTTAATTTGCTCCATTACCTCCTCAGTTTTTAAGGT